ATCTCGTCAGAGAAATCACATCCATCGATTGTGCAAACCAACTTCCTTTCAATCTCTTCCTTTTGGTTCACCAGTACCGAAGAACGGTTATCTCTAATGGTGTTGAGTTCTTTTAGCAATTGATGTTCCTTCTCCTTGACAGCTTGAATGAGGCGGCGCGAAGTTCTCCGAATTTGCCACGAGACGTCATCGATTTTATTTTGCCACCGACCGTACACCTTGATAATCTCGTAAACCGACTTCTGCAAGGCGGGAATATTCTTCTGCGTCGCGTCCAGCAATGACAGAAGCGTTGGTTTAATCGAGTCGACTGCATTTTGCAACGAAATAAGTTCGTGTCCGTCTCCATGATCAGTGGTTCTTCTACATTCCTTGCATGTTAATAAATCACAAGTTTTGCAGTACATGTCTATATTTTCAGTGTTGTGTTTAGCGCAAGTCACGAACACTGAATCTTCCTTTGGATTTGTTTTATCGACAAATTCCTCAAGAGACAAGATCTCATGTTCTCTTGTAAACTTTACCCTTTGATGAGCTAGTGTGCAATCATCACAGAGAAATTCTTGGCACTCCATGCACCTGTGTGAAGCCACGTTGTGGCCATTTTCGCAACCACTACAATCTTCCTCGCGCTGTCGTAATTTTTGCCTTTCAAACTCCTCAAGTTTCCTGAGAATAATTATGTTTGGCTGCAAATCGTCGAGATTTTTCGACGGCAAGGCAACCTCGGAGCGGCACACAGGACAGAACAGTGAAGTTTCGTTTTCTCCCATAATTAAACCTACACACCGCTTGCAAAACGTGTGTAAACACGGCAGCACTTTTGGCTCATCGTACAGTTTGCTGCAATATTTACACCAGATATCTTCCGGGCTTTCTTCTCTGAATGCCACAGATTTCCGCGGACCCCGTTTGGAAGCCATTTCTATGTAGTAAAAGTTCCAAAAAGGTGGTTATTGACAACACATTAGAGGTTTCCTTGGTCGCATCTCTCGTATGACAACGAAATTATGCAGCTCATTCCGCCGGTCCCAGCGCACCCCAGTTGATTTTCAAAACTGCGGTCGCCAAATATTTACAATTGGAACTCTTCCCAAATGCTCCGCTCCAAGTTTTTCTAAACTCGTATGATGTCTCACGCAAATAACTTGAAAGCCTACATTGGAAAAATACCAAATTTGTGAGATGTAAAGAACTTCAGGTGTGGCTGCATATCTTTCTTCACGGGCAATTGAATTCCGATTTCAGTTTAGCATTTAATAATTCAGAAGGCGTTATACATCCGTAGCAGGTAATACAAGCCAAAACTACAACCAGTCAAACAATAGTCTATTGTTAAAATAATCTCTGACACAATCACTATCCCCTGAATCACCCATACCTCCCTGTCGGTGCGATTAATTCAAGTGTCGCCTTTTTTTGTTGTTGTTCCTACAATTCAAAACTGCTTTGTACCTTGCGTATGTGACTTTACGGGACAAACCCCATTTCACGTAAAGATCTTTAAAGCCAATTTGCATTACATGTAATACAAACTGGTTCATCTTTTAATTTCCCTCAATTAGTCCCAGAGGCCGCGACTCTTTTGTTCAGCCACGCGGAATACGGGACGAGAATGATAATCTCTATTTCATGCCATGCGCACATTAAGCCCCGTTCAGACAGTCTTGATAGTCAATGACAGTGAATGATAGTTGGAACTATCGTCAACTATATTTCTTCGGTCCCGCTGGAAACTGTAAGTTGTAGATATCAGCTTGGTAACGAAAACGGGACTGTAAGCAAAAAAACCCGAAAAACAGAACAAAACGAAAGCGCCAAGGTCATACGTTTTGCACGAAAAACAAAAACATCGTGTTCCAAGATTTGCCCTGAACATGAAGTTCCAAGTTGTAACCGTTTGCATCAGAAACAAAGTATAATGCTACTTGAGCTTGCACGAAAGCAAAAAATATCAAGTTACAAAAACGAAGTGAAGGTTAAACATTTGTCAAAAAATTGTATCATGTTACAAACATTTGCACGAAAACGAAAGCCAGGCATGAAATATGAAATGTCTAGACTTTTAGATTTAAAATTATTAGAAAGTCTTTAATGAAAATTTGTAAAAAAACACTGAGTCATGAATATGTAGCAACGTTTACTGCTGACACAAGCAAGAACTTAATCATCTACCGAACCACCTTGCCATAAACTGGCACAAGTACATTTCGTGTTACATACACACAGATATACCTCGCTCAACTTGACATACACACTGATATTCATCGTTCAACTTGACATACACACAGATATACATCGTTCAACTTGACAGCTAACAAGCTTCAGCAAATTTTGCTCATGAAAAACGTAGTCTGAATAACACTAGTGAAAATTAAGGCTTTGTATGCAATGGCCACCAGTGGAGGATGATCTGAAGTTATATACCGTCGCTTCCATCAACGTTTTCGGGTGTTTTAGTGTGGACGGTAAGCGAAAACATATCAAAAAGTATGCGTTTTCGAATGAAAACTGAACGAATTAGTGTGAACTGGTGAGAACAAAACGAAAACGCTAGTGTGGTCGAAAATATTTTGCTCTGTTTTTAGTCGAGACGAAAACTGATACTTTTAAATACATATTAGTGTGGTCGGAGCCTGAACCCCCCGAGGGATACTTCCAGAAAAATTGGGTGGGGGTGTGCGGCCCACTTCCCAAAACCCTTACCCTATTTATGACCAAAATCTGCGTTTTTTTCTACCCTATTTATGACCTGTTCAAAAATTCGATAGCCTACTTATGACCGTTGCGGCTGACACATTTGCCCCAAACATAAGTTATGAAGGGCTTTTGTTGACGGTTTTATCATAGTTAGTAACTATGGTTTTATCGATAGAGGTGAAAAGGTAGCTTCTTCTAAGAAACATACCCAATTCAAGACTAGAGTGCTAAAACCATACCCTATTTATAACCAAAATGGCCAAATTCGATACCCTGTTTATGACTAAAACGGCTGAAAAACCCTACCCTTTGAGGCCGCACATACCTTTATAGCTCATAAAAGGGAGTACCACCCTCCCCGGGCCTGAGCCCAAGGATTGGGGACTGAGTACGAAGATGAAGTCTGGCATCGAAAGCCAACTGACTGGATTTAAAATACATAACGGCATCTTATTCATCACACGTTCATCTTCGACTTCGTAGTTGGTCGCGCCTCAACAGATTTCAACATTTCTAGATCTTTTCCTCAACTAAACAATGTGGCGCTGACAACGAGACCGATACATGTCACAGTTTGTCTTCCGTAACGCAACAGAGATTCATTGACATGCAAATTTGAGGCAAAGTTGTCGCTGTGGCTTTGTTCGACTTTGCATTGTCCTAATTTGAATATGACAAGACGCACGCGACTTTGAAACGACATTTTCGAACGACAAACACCTTACGACTGCCTCTATGGTCTGTCCATATCGATGGCCCGCCTGAACAGAGAAGATCGAAATTTAACGGGTTCACTACCTGATTTAAAAGCTTCAGTAAAGGCCACAGAGCACCAAACCAAAGTTGTCGACAGAAAGATATTCGTTGTTGAAACCCATTTCCCGAAACTCGCAGCTATGCTTCAACGATACGCAGTGGGAACAGCGAAATTACGCGACAAAGGAGACGAGCTTTCAAAAACAATAACGGCTTATGCTGAAGAAGAATCGCCGTCAATGAAACAAGGGTTAATGACTTTGTCCGAATGTCTATCGGCCATTCAAGATCAACGAGACGCTGAAGTCAGTCGACTAGAAGGGAAACTAGTTCAAGGTTTCAGCGTGTACGACACAAAATGCAAGCAAGCGAGGAATGACGTCAGGGTCAGTTCTTCGCTCTGCACGAGAGAGGTGAAATCATTTGAGAGCCTCGAAAAAGCCCAGATGAAATCCACAGACCGAACAAGAATTGCGAGAGCACAGGCAGAATTTCAGAAGGCGTCTGGCGAAGCGAATCGTTCCCTGCGGGTTCTACGCGAACAAATGAACGAGTTCGAAAGCCAAAAAATGCGAGATGTTAAACAGATTTTATCGGAGTTCGTGGTTGGTGAAATGGAGCTCTTAGCCCGGTCTATGGAGTTGTATACCCGCGCTTATCAAGGCTTGATGAATATAAGTGAAGATGATGATTTAGGAGAGTTTAACAAATCCATGACTTTCAAACCACCCCAATGGGGGTCGGCTCCAACTTTGTCCAACGTTGGACGATACAATAATGCAAATGCTATGGATAACATGCTGGAAGAGGTCGAAGATGAAAGCGACGACTTAAATCGTACAATGTAAATACAAGTTATTAACAGAAAAAGCATTAGGAAACATTATTTATCTTAAAATTAATGCATGTATAAAT